TCTGTAGCAGTAGATTACATGCCTATAGAAACACATGAACTCGATATCAATGAACGGACAAACAAGCGCAAACTTAACATTCAACTCAAACTTTCATTTATCTTCAGCTGACTGTAGTTATAAAGTTATACGACTAGAACCATAATGACATGACAATTGAGTAAATAGACTAAAACTTAGAAATATCTGATAGACAGACAAAATCAACTGACAACTTAACATTTAACTCTGGCTTTTAACTATCTTAAGCTGATTATAGCTATAAAACCGAATATAGTTATAACTTTAAACTATCTTTAACTGAAACACAGTTATAATAATGACACCATAATCACAAAACAATCGAGCAAATAGACTAAATCCACCTCAATTGAATTCTACATTTCGGACGAACAAACAAGTTAATAACTAACATTTGTCTCCAACTTTGAATTATCTTGATGACTAGTATTAATGAAAATGTACCATATGACACGAAAATTAAACTTATAAAGTAGTTTATCATGTGTGAAATTATCAAATAAGCTGCAAACATTAAAAATTACTGTAAATTTTAGGGCTAAAAAACACAACTTTCAACGACATAATAGTACAACCAAATACCTTTTGGTAAGTATCTATTCAATCCATGAAAAGTTTTGAATAAGTTTTGTTTTTTACAACAGCTTAAAGTTCATTTAACTACAACAACGCTGGTCCTATCATTGTCCACTAATTGCTGTGGGGCAAAGCATCATAAAAGCCATGGTAATCCTTTGGAATAACCTTTTTCAATTCTTGCAGGTGTCCATATTTCCTGTCCTTTATATATAATGGGGCATTGTGCAACTGTGTGACGGTTACTTGTGGTCCTTGGCACTTTGCACGTCTTGGCAATTCATTATACATAAGTTTGTACTCAATGTTTCCGTCGGGGGTATACTTCAGCACCCTGATATCCGTAACACAAGCATCACCAACTTTTGTACCTGGGCGAATGGAAGAGTAATAACGAACATTTGAGTAATCCATGAAGAATGTATGATCCAAGTACTTAACTTTGTATGGATTTGACAGTCGCGCTGACTTGATAGCTTCCACATAGTTGGCGGGACTGTAAATTGTTTTGTGGCGCAGACTCCTTTCGATGGTACTATGTATGCTATCACAATCCATCTGAGTGTGTCCTTTTTCCAGGATCTTCTGCGTAATGGTTATTCCTTTTGTCACAGCTAAATGCAACAAAGCATTTGCCAGGGTAATATTCCTGTTCTGATACGTACAGCCATCACTGTAGATTGTAATTTGATCTGTATCTCCTAATTCATTTGTGATATAGTCGCACAAACAGGAAGCAAAACTATTTGACCCAAGATCCCCTTCACCTTCATGCCAAAAGTAACATACTACATTGTGTGAAGTCAAGTCATACATCGTAAAGTTATGACAGGATAGTTTAGTTTTGTAGTACATAGCGCTCGCTTGCAGACATGGTGCCAACAACACAGCCTGCAAGTCTAATGTTATAACCTTTTCTTAACATCCTCTGCTGCCTGTTTGTCTTTTGATTTTTCTTCTCTGGCCTGTGTTTTCCGATCTATGTGTTTCTTGTACTCTGATTCTTCTAAATTACCAGATTCAAATGCACAGCAAACATCACACTGATCTTTTTTGGGTTGGAACAAACCAATGTTCTTGTCTCTAACAACATCATTAAACACTGTTTGTGACAACGGGTCGTTGTTCTTTTCTTTGCAATGTTCCACATACAAGCGATAGAGCTGAATCTGAGATCTGATGCATAGCTCCAAATACATCTTGTCAGTTGAGGCTCGGCAATAATGCGAAGGAAGTTTCGGCAAGGAATCTAAATAAAAACCGGTTTACAATTTCCCTCTTTGCCGCATGTTCCGGTTTAGCTCGTTTAGGTGTAGTATTCTCGGACGATGGACTGTGCATTCCAGACTTTGATGTATTAAGCCAACTGTGTACTGACCACTCTCCTAAACCTAAAGTTGACAGGTACATACTTTTGCAGACCTGAAAACGACCATCACTTTTCTTCAAGTGATACGCATAACTTTGTTTCCTTCTAGAGTTCCCCTGTTCTGTTGTTTGTTCCTTTGTCTTTGTGGAATCCACCATTGTAGAAACGTACATTTTTTTTGAGACCAATCCATGTCCCAGAAGCTGGAAAATATTTCTTGCCTGGTTTCATTTGAAAATTCTGAGCAATGTCTAATTTTACTCCTCAGACAGAGGTTGGAACAGCAACGAGGGCCCATATGTCTTGGTTCTCTGTCAATTTCTGTGTATTGTCCATCCACTGTTTTTCGTACGCTTTTTTACGATTGTCCCTTCATTCTGGATGCTTTGTTTATATTGCGTTTCCATTGTTTTGGAATACTTCTCCCCTTTTTAGCCTTTTTAGACTTCGTTGGTCCCGTACTTATGTTCTCTTCAAGTTCGCTGAGACTTGATTCGTCCTCATGACATGCTATATCAATATCTTCTACAGTTTCTTCTGAGGACTTTGGCGGAGCCCAGTCAGGATCTGCATCTGAATCCTCAAGATATTCCTCAAGCTCAGATAATTCATTAAGTAAACATGTAGATTCATGTTGCTCAGACTGGTTAGTCTTATTCAATGCAAGTTGTAGACAAATCTGACCTCTTGAAAGTGTAAAATGTTTGAAATCTTTAGCAGCCATTCTTACAATTTGGATGAAAATTAAACTCCAATGTCTTATACTATCCGTTTCCCTTGTTTTCTATTATTATGTAGCGTGGAGTTGTTTGTGGGAAAAAGCTATGATACCAATGTGAAATAAAATTATATTGTTTACACACTGATGAGTATTGTCCTAATTCTCTCCTTCTAAGTATTTGAGTAATGTTCCGTGTGTCTGAAGTAACTTGTATTGTGTCACTGTTCCTAAGCCATTCATATGAATTAGAACTAGAAGTCATACTTTCGGTCTTGGTCTCATGAACCACCCACAATGTGAACACGTGTAGTAATCACTTTCAATATCTTCTATTTCCGCGTCAGAAGGGAAGTTATCAATACATTTCAAATGAAAATGTCTATCGCAGTAATAGCAACGTAACCATTCGGTCCCATCAACATAAAAAAAAGTTGTCAGCATCTATTGGCGTTTCATTACATTCAAAACATGTCCATATCACATCATAGTCTTCTACAGAACCTTCAGGGTCGGACCTACAATGAATAAAATTACTGTAGTATCTCACTTTGAACTTTTACACTGCCAACTAATTGGACTACAATATTTGGAATTATATATATTCAATTTGGTAATAATGAGACTGATTTTGTAAGTGATTAATGTATTACAGACACATGTACATTGTACTAGGGTAATTAGAACTTCAGGACTGATTAATTTGACAGGCGATTGAATTATTGATATAATTTACTAAAGTTACTGAAAAACTCACTTTATAGACGAAAATGTAATAGCTAGTGTATGATTTTCAGTTAAGTCTATGGATAAATCCAGTATAGCCATAGTTGCCACATTGTAAACCAGTGATTTAACCCCATAGCTTAATTGTCGGTGATAACGAAAGCTAGTATCTCCTTGGCACGAAACAATCTAAATCAAACACAAAACACGTAACTCTTTTAAACTCCAAAATATGAAATATTAGACCATTTCATCAATTAAATTTCTTATATAACACCCCTTGTTATAGGTATTTAGATAAAATCTATCCAAAAACAAAATTTATGATTGAACAATAAGGTTAATTGTGATATTCATGTCAGTAAGATCATACCACCGGTACTTCAGCGATGGTAAAAGTAGTGTTTCCAACAAGAACGGCAAAATAAACTTCATTGTAGCACAGGTAACCACCTATAAACTAATTTGAGTAGTAATTACTCTGATATAAGGTAAAATAAAATACCTACATATCACGATTCTCTTCCACGTGTTCTACTCACTGCCACCTCTGGACTTTTCACCATCATAATAATATACTGTCAAAAGCTCTTAAGTCAAGATACATGGTTTTGCCTTTAGGAACTTGCAACCAGTGTGATACGTGAAAATCATCATGTGATGTTATTCAGTCTTCTGATTGGTCTAGAGATACAAGCTTTTTTGACAAGAAATATAACAGCAGGAATATTGCCATCTTGTTAAAATCCTACTTTGGTCAAAATTCAGAGTTACGAGGTTTTGACTCCTGGCTGACGTTATACTTTAACAGATAAACTCGTAACTCCCTTTGTCTCTCTATTGTTTATACTTTAACAGATAAACTCGTAACTCCCTTTGTCTCTCTATTGTTAACAGATAAACTCGGAAATCTCTTTGTCTGTCTATTGTTTATACTTTAACAGATAAACGCGGAATTTTTTGTCTATCTATTGTTTGGAAAGGCTTTTTGCACTATTGTAGGTATATTGATAATAATTGTATAATAGATACATTCGGGAATCCTTTTGTCTGCCTATATATTATTTATAATTGTTAAACAGATACATTCGGGACTCCTTTTGTTTGCGTATATATTGTTTATAATAGTATAACAGATACATTCGGAAATACCTACATATCGGATACCTACACACAGATCACTACATACACCAGATACCTACACAGATCACTACAAACACCGGATACCTACACAGATCACTACAAATACCAGATACCTACACACAGTTCACTACAAACACCAGATATCTACACAGATCACTACAAACACCAGATACCTACACAGATCACTACAAATACCGGATACCTACACAGATCACTACAAATACCAGATACCTACACACAGATCACTACAAACACCAGATACCTACACACAGATCACTACAAACACAAGATACCTACACAGATCACTACAAACACCAGATACCTACACAGATCACTACAAACACCGAATACCTACACAGATCACTACAAACATCGGATACCTACACACAGATCACTACAAACATCGGATACCTACAGTCACATATTTGATGTTCTTTATTCTAGAAAATGTTTGTATCTAAATTGAAGATTGTATTAGCGGGAATATTATCTGTATTATTTATAGAAACAATATACTTGGTTCTGCAATTCAATGTATTTATGTCACAACAGCAAATCAGCTTTGTTCGTGTGAAAGAAAAACCAGAGAAAGGAGAGGAAAAAACAAAACGATAACTTCGGAAATGGTTTACTTGGACTTCCGCAAAATATCGCTCAGGAAGCCGGAGTCCAGGGTATGATACCAGAAATAGGAAATATAATACCGAACATGAAAAACTTGATAGGGGACATGGCGAACCCATTAGAGGAATTTGGCGTCAAGGAGATGCTTAACAATAATGCTGAATCTCATGGCTTACAAAGACAGGTATCACTGTTATATATCTGGGTATGGGTATATAGTAATATATATCTGTATCTGGTAGGTATCACTGTTATATATCTGGTAGGTAGGTATCACTGTTATATATCTAGTAGGTATCACTGGTATCTGGGTAGGTGTTATATATCTGGGTGTTATATATCTGGGTAAATCTTATATATCTGGGTAAGTTGCACTATTATATATCTGGGTAGGTAAGTATCACTATTATATATCTGGGTAGGTAGGTATCACTATTATATATCTGGGTAGGTATCACTGTTATATATCTGGGTAGGTAGGTATCACTGTTATATATCTGGGTAGGTATCACTGTTATATATCTGGGTAGGTAGGTATCACTGTTATATATCTGGGTAGGTATCACTGTTATATATCTGGGTAGGTAGGTATCACTGTTATATATATATGGGTAGGTCTCACTATTATATATCTGTGAAGGTATCACTGTGATATATCTGGGTAGGTATCACTGTTATGTAACTTGGTTGGTATGACTTTTATATATCTCGGTAGGAATCAATGTTATATATCTGGGTAGGTAGGTATCACTATTATATATCTGGGTAGGTATCACTGTTATATATCTGGGTAGGTATCACTGTTATATATCTGGGTAGGTAGGTATCACTGTTATATATCTGGGTAGGTATCACTGTTATATATCTGGGTAGGTAAGCATCATTATTATATATCTGGGTAGGTAGGTATCACTATTATATATCTGGGTAGGTATCACTGTTATACATCTGGGTAGGTAGGTATCACTGTTATATATCTGGGTAGGTATCACTGTTATATATCTGGGAAATGATCACTGTTATATATCTGGGTAGGTATCACTATTATATATCTGGGAAATGATCACTGTTATATATCTGGGTAGGTATCACTGTTATATAACTTGGTTGGTATGACTTTTATATATCTCGGTAGGTATCACTGTTATATACTGTTATATACCTGGGTAGGTATCACTGTTATATACTGTTATATACCTGGGTAGGTATCACTGTTATATATCTGGGTAGGTATCATTGTTATATATCTGGGTAGATAAGTATCATTATTATATATCTGGGTAAGTTGCACTATTATATATCTGGGTAGGTAAGTATCACTATTATATATCTGGGTGGTAAGGTATCACCGCTATATATCTGGGAAGGTATCACTGTTATATATCTGGGTAGGTATCACTGTTATATATCTGGGTAGGTATCACTGTTATATATCTGGGTAGGTATCACTATTTTATATTTGGGTAGGTAGGTATCACTGTTATATATCTGGGTAAGTATCTTTGTTATATATCTGGGTAGGTATCACTGTTATATATCTGGGTAGGTAGGTATCACTGTTATATATCTAGGAAGGTATCACTGTTATATGTCTGGGTAGGTATCAATATTATATATCTGGGTAGGTAAGTATCACTGTTATGTATCTTGGTTGGTATCATTGTTATATATCTGGGTAGGTATCACTGTTATATATCTTGGTAGGTAGGTATCACTGTTATATATCTGGGTAAGTATCTTTGTTATATATCTGGGTAGGTATCACTGTTATATATCTGGGTAGGTAGGTATCACTGTTATATATCTGGGTAAGTATCTTTGTTATATATCTGGGTAAGTAGGTATCAATGTTATATATCTCGGTAGGTATGTATCAATGTTATATATCTGTGTAGGTATCACTATTGTATATCTGGATAGGTAGGTATCACTGTTATATATCTGGGTAGGTATCATTGTTATATATCTGGGTAGGTATCACTGTTATATATCTGGGTAGGTATCACTGTTATATATCTGGGTAGGTAGGTTTCACTGTTATATATATCTGGGTAGGTATTACTGTTATATATCTGGGTAGGTAGGTATCACTGGTATATATCTGGGTAGGTATCACTGTTATATATCTGGGTAGGTATCACTATTATATTTCTGGGTATGTATTACTGTTATATATCTGGGTAGGTAGGTATCACTGTTATATATCTGGGTAGGTATCATTGTTATATATCTGGGTAGGTATCACTGTTATATATCTGGGTAGGCAGGTATCACTGTTATATATCTGGGTAGGTATCACTGTTATATATCTGGGAAATGATCACTGTTATATATCTGGGTAGGTAACATTGTTATATATCTGGATATGTATCACTGTTATATATCTGGGTAGGTATCACTGTTATATATCTGGGTAGGTATCACTGTTATATATCTGGGTAGGTATCACTGTTATATATCTGGGTAGGTAGGTATCACTGTTATATATATATCACTGTTATATATCTGGGTAGGTAGGTATCACTGTATATATATCTGGGTAGGTATATCACTGTTATATATCTGGGTAGGTATATCACTGTTATATATCTGGGTAGGTATATCACTGTTATATATCTGGGTAGGTAGGTATCACTGTTATATATCTGGGTATATATCTGTATGTATCAATGTTATATATCTGGGTAGGTATCACTGTTATATATCTGGATAGGTAGGTATCACTGTTATATATCTGGGTAGGTAGGTATCACTGTTATATATCTGGGTAGGTATCACTGTTATATATCTGGGTAGGTATCACTGTTATGTATCTTGGTTGGTATCACTGTTATATATCTGGGTAGGTATCACTGTTATATATCTTGGTAGGTAGGTATCACTATTATATATCTGGGTAGGTATCACTGTTATATAACTTGGTTGGTATGACTGTTATATATCTCGGTAGGTATCACTGTTATATATCTGGGTAGGTATCATTGTTATATATCTCGGTAGGTAGGTATCACTGTTATATATCTGGGTAGGTATCACTGTTATATATCTGGGAAATAATTACTGTTATATATATGGGTATGTATTACTGTTATATATCTGGGTAGGTAGGTATCACTGTTATACATCTGAGTAGGTAGGTATCACTGTTATATATCTGGGTAGGTATCACTGTTATATATCTGGGTAGGTATCACTATTATATATCTGGGTAGGTAGGTATCACTGTTATATATATATGGGTAGGTCTCACTATTATATATCTGTGAAGGTATCACTGTGATATATCTGGGTAGGTATCACTGTTATATATCTGGGTAGGTATCACTGTTATATATCTGTTATATATCTGTTATATATCTGGGTAGGTATATCACTGTTATATATCTGGGTAGGTATATACTGTTATATATCTGGGTAGGTATATCACTGTTATATATCTGGGTAGGTATCACTGTTATATATCTGGGTAGGTATCACTGTTATATATCTGGGTAGGTATCACTGTTATATATCTGGGTAGGTATATCACTGTTATATATCTGGGTTATATATTATATATCTGGGTAGGTATATCACTGTTATATATCTCGGTAGGTATTAATGTTATATATATGGGTAAGTATCAATGTTATATATCTGGGTAAGTATCACTGTTATATATATGAGTAGGTATCACTGTTATAAACCTGGGTAGGTATCACTGTTATATATCTGGGTAGGTAGGTATCACTGTTATATATCTGGGTAGGTATCATTGTTATATATCTCGGTAGGTAGGTATCACTGTTATATATCTGGGTAGGTATCACTGTTATATATCTGGGTAGGTAGGTATCACTGTTATATATCTGGGTAGGTATCACTGTTATATATCTGGGTAGGTATCACTGTTATATATCTGGGTAGGTATCACTGTTATATATCTGGGTAGGTATCACTGTTATATATCTGGGTAGGTATCACTGTTATATATCTGGGTAGGTATCAATGTTATATATATGGGTAAATATCAATGTTATATATCTGGGTAAGTATCACTGTTATATATATGAGTAGGTATCACTGTTATATATCTGGGTAGGTAACATTGTTATATATCTGGATATGTACCACTGTTATATATCTGGGTAGGTATCACTGTTATATATCTGGGTAGGTATCACTGTTATATATCTGGGTATATATATCTGGGTAGGTATCGCTGTTATATATCTGGGTAGGTAGATATTACTATTATATATGGGTAGGTATCACTGTTATATATCTGGGTAGGTATCACTGTTATATATCTGGGTAGGTAGGTATCACTGTTATATATCTGGGTAGGTATCATTGTTATATCTCGGTGGGTAGGTATCACTGTTATATATCTGGGTAGGTATCACTATTTTATATTTGGGTAGGTAGGTATCACTGTTATATATCTGGGTAAGTATCTTTGTTATATATCTGGGTAGGTATCACTGTTATATATCCCTTTTATTATATATCTGGGTAGTTAGGTATCACTATTATATATCTGGGTAGGTATCGCTGTTATATATCTGGGTAGGTAGGTATCATTGTTATATATCTCGGTAGGTTTCACTGTAATATATCTGGGAAATAATCACTGTTATATATCTGGGTATGTATTACTGTTATATATCTGAGTAGGTATCACTGTTATATATCTGGGTAGGTATCACTGTTATATATCTGGGTAGATATCATTGTTATATCTCGGTGGGTAGGTATCACTGTTATATATCTGGGTAGGTATCACTGTTATATATCTGGGTAGGTAGGTATCACTGTTATATATCTGGGTAGGTAGGTATCACTGTTATATATCTGGGAAATAATCACTGTTATATATCTGGGTATGTATATATCTGGGTAGGTAGGTATCACTGTTATACATCTGAGTAGGTAGGTATCACTGTTATATATCTGGGTAGGTAGGTTTCACTGTTATATATATCTGGGTAGGTATTACTGTTATATATCTGGGTAGGTATCACTGTTATATATCTGGGTAGGTATCACTGTTATATATCTGGGTAGGTATCATTGTTATATATCTGGGTAGGTATCACTGTTATATATCTGGGTAGGTAGGTATCACTGTTATATATCTGGGTAGGTATCACTGTTATATATCTGGGTAGGTAGGTATCACTGTTATATATCTGGGTAGGTATCACTGTTATATATCTGAGTAGGTAGGTATCATTGTTATATATCTGGGCAGGTATCACTATTTTATATTTGGGTAGGTAGGTATCACTGTTATATATCTGGGTAGGTATCACTGTTATATATCTGGGTAGGTATCTCTGTTATATATCTGGGCAGGTAGGTATCACTGTTATATATCTGGGTAGGTATCACTGTTATATATCTGGGTAGGTATCATTGTTATATATCTCGGTAGGTAGGTATCACTGTTATATATCTGGGTAGGTATCATTGTTATATATCTGGGTAGGTATATATCTGGGTACTGTTATATATCTGTATATATATATCTGGGTATATATCTGGGTAGGTAGGTATCACTGTTATGTATCTTGGTAGGTATCACTGTTATATATCTGGGTAGGTAGGTATCACTGTTATATATGTTGGTAGTTAGGTATCACTGTTATATATCTGGGTAGGTATCACTGTTATATATCTGGGTAGGTATCACTGTTATATATCTGGGTAGGTATATCATATGTTATATATCTGTAGGTATATATATATCTGGGTAGGTATATATATATCTCGGTAGGAATCAATGTTATATATCTGGGTAGGTAGGTATCACTATTATATATCTGGGTAGGTATCACTGTTATATATCTGGGTATATATATATCTGGGTAGGTATATATATATCTGGGTAGGTATATCACTGTTATATATCTGGGTAGGTAGTTATATATGTAGGTAGGTTTCACTGTTATATATATCTGGGTAGGTATTACTGTTATATATCTGGGTAGGTAGGTATCACTGGTATATATCTGGGTAGGTATCACTGTTATATATCTGATTAGGTATCACTATTTATATCTGGGTAGGTAGGTATCACTGTTATATATCTGGGTAGGTATCTCTGTTATATATCTGGGCAGGTAGGTATCACTGTTATATATCTGGGCAGGTATCACTGTTATATATCTGGATAGGTAGGTATCACTGTTATTTATCTGGGTAGGTATCACTGTTATATATCTGGGTAGGTAGGTATCACTGTTATATATGTGGGTAGGTATCACTGTAATATATCTGTGTAGGTATCACTGTTATATATCTGGAAAGGTATCAATGTTATATATTTGGGTAGGCATCACTGTTATATATCTGGGTAGGTATCACTGTTATATATCTGGGAAATGATCACTGTTATATATCTGGGTAGGTATCACTGTTATATATCTGTGTAGGTATCACTGTTATATATCTGGGAAGGTATCAATAATATATATCTGGGTAGGTATCACTGTTATATATCTGGGTAGTTATCACTGTTATATATCTGGGTAGTAAGGTATCACCGCTATATATCTGGGAAGGTATCACTGTTATATATCTGGGTAGGTATCACTGTTATATATCTGGGTAGGTATCACTATTTTATATTTGGGTAGGTAGGTATCACTGTTATATATCTGGGTAGGTATCATTGTTATATATCTCGGTAGGTAGGTATCACTGTTATATATCTGGGTAGGTGTCACTATTATATATCTGGATAGGTATCAATATTATATATTCGGGTAGGTAGGTATCACTGTTATATATCCATAGATCACTGTTATGATATCTAGGGAGGTATCACTGTTATATTCTCTGTACAGACATGTTATATATCTGAGGTATCATGTTATATATCTGGGTAGTAACACTGTTATATATCTGGGTAGGGATCTGTTATATATCTGTCCATCACTGTTATATATCTGGACTTATCACTGATATATCTGGGATGTAAGTTTATATTGCCCTTCTCTGTCCACAGATATATCCTGACCCTAGGTACCACTGTTATATATCTGCCCTAGGTCTGTCCACAGACCTGTTCCTGAACCTAGGGACCCCATGTAAGTTTGTTTGCCCTTCTCTGTCCACAGACATGTTCCTAACCATAGGGAGCCATGTAAGTTTGCCCTTCTCAGTCCACAGACATGTTCCTGACCCAAGGGAGTCCACGAAAGTTTGCCCTTATCTGTCCACAGACCTGTTCCTGACCCTAAGGACCCTGTGTAACTTTGCCCTTCTCTGTCCACAGACCTGTTCCTGACCCTAGGGACCCCGTGTAAGTTTGCCCTTCTCTGTCCACAGACCTGTTCCTGACCCTAGGGACCCCATGTAAGTTTGTTTGCCCTTCTCTGTCCACAGACCTGTTCCTGACCCTAGGGACCCTGTGTAACTTTGCCCTTCTCTGTCCACAGACCTGTTCCTGACCCTAGGGACCCCATGTAAGTTTGTTTGCCCTTCTCTGTCCACAGACCTGTTCCTGACCCTAGGGACCCCGTGTAAGTTTGCCCTTATCTGTCAACAGACCTGTTCCTGACCCTAGGGACCCCATGTAAGTTTGCCCTTCTCTGTCCACAGACCTGTTCCTGACCCTAGGGACCCCCCTGTAATTATTTTAACAGGAATTTTATTTTGTTGATTCTATCAGTGATTCCGCAATCCAGTACTGATGGATCTAGTCGACAAATTACATAACAGGAAGACAGTATCAGAGAAACAATTCTAGCAATTTTATATTATAGATTTTTTTTTATTTCATTTAACATTATGTCATAAACTAAATAGAATTAGATATATATATCTAAGATATTATTATTACAAATGTAATATCAAATCAAATTTCATTTTTACTTTAAAATAATAATGATAAGACTGTAAGGAGTCAACATGATGCAAAGAAAACATATAAAGACCGAAATAGCATTTATTACCATTGACATCATTAAAAAAACAAACAGACCTATCATGATGTTTCCACATGCACTATGAAGTTTGAACTGTTGTATGATTTAAAACTATCGAAAATCACATCTTGTAGAACTTGTACTTGAACTGCTCTGTATGTCGATACTTAAATGCACTTAACAACCCCATTCATGAATTTCTCACCATTTTGTATGGATTTGGATTGGTAAGATAAGTATGGTGTAATTGTTAACGTGTTCCATATGTTCTGTTGTTTCAGTTGTAAAGTGCTCCAGTATGCTGACGATTTACCGGAAGCCAGTGTAATCATCACATTTCATAACGAGGCTTGGAGTGTATTACTCCGCAGTGTACATAGCATCTTGGATAGATCGCCAGAACATCTAATAAAAGAAATCATTCTAGCCGACGATTTCTCTGACCGAGGTAAATACACCCAGAGTCATACAGTTGCGCCGTCCGCGATGCATATGTAACCGGGTTGCACATGGGTCTAAGAAATGACTAGGACAACCAGGTCGGGTTCGTTCGTTTATTGAGCTTTACCACCCGCAATCCATATAATCCAAGTAGTAGCGTATAAAGATTGAACCTACAATACACAATTAAAACTACATGTCTTAACACAATGATAACAATACAAACCTACATCACTACCAATAGCACTATCTTATACATAGATTTACTTGTCAGTGGTAAATAACATACATGTGTATAATAAAACAAAGACAAGTATTACCCCATATATCTGATACCACAAGGGGAGATAATCCACTTGCTCAACTATAAAAAACACACATACAGATATATAGAAATTATCAAGATAGTGGATATGATCATATCTACCTTACATTGATCAAATATACAATTTGCAACATGAACTATGAAACAATAGAATTCACTGGCCGGCTATTAATATTACACAATTGTAGCCGGGTTCCAATGCTACACAGTGTTCTATAAAATAACGCTGGATTCATTCCTTTCATACATTTATTTAGACGCACCAAAAGACCCTACAATAACACAAATAAAACATATAAGTTCATGTATAAGACATATTACAAACTACGCACTGTATGTTATACACTGGACATGGAGTCAACTTTACTTTTTACACATATTTATATTTCCCGTAACGGTTACACTAAACTTTACGAATTCATCAAAATATATATATCCAATGCCAACACATGATAAACTATAGGATTTACCATTTGTATTACACAGATGTAGTTAATAGTTAATAATATATGTACATAATATACCTACCCTATCAATCTGACAGGGGTCTCAAGAGATAACATCCTTTTTTACAATAAAATGATATATGGTTCTGTTGAAAGAAAAACAACAAAAACGTAATTAACTATATTTGTAATAAATTTCTTTAAGATAATTCTGCAAAAATTATTATACCCATTACAAAAGGAATAATGAAAAAAACCACAAAGAGACATTTCAATTTCTTCAAATATTTAAATAAATACGAAAATACTAATTCTGTAAAAGTTAACTAACATTATCATTTAAAATAATTAAATGATATTTCAAATACTTACTATTTTAAAATGTATATTTGCCACCACAGTCGTCCGTACGTAGCTACATATAATTGCGACTGTCCATGTCTCTGTCCAGCGCGTGAATAACGATACAGGACATACAGGTGCACGAACAAGCATGTAATCACGTGACAAGACATTTACATAACAAAACACAGGTGAGAAATTCTTAGAACATACACTGACAAAACAAACCGGTTGGACAATTACATTTATAAAAATATATATAAATAGATAAAAGTAAAATTGACACTGCCACACAATCACATTTCACATATAAATTAAAGTACGATTGCCAAAATGTAAATTACACTAAAATAAGCTATTGTGCTTACCTCGACTATGGGTTGAGGATCATACGCCTTAACCCGATCTACTAGGATAAGTACCAAAAAGAGTTTAGTTTCTGTATATATCACGTTATTATGAGAGGTGAGAAACACACCTATCTCCAGCTAAGGCTCTTTTCCTTCTGACAATTTACACAAAGAACTTTCCCTCCGAAAATACAGCCAATAAAATAAAAGGTCAATTAAAAGGTCATGTCAAGGGTCGAGTTAGTTATGGACATTACATACAAATATCATGCAGACAAGACATGGACAGTACAGGTAATACTGGACAATACTTAGGTAGGTAGGTCACATGACCATACCTATACATAGAACATATACAACACTGATACTCCATTAAGTGGTTACCACTTTCCATATACATCACCAGTACCTGTATAAAGATATAACAAGTTCTTACTCTGCATTACACATAATACAGGTGCACTACAATTATACACTAAAAATTCGTCAATATATACTTAGACCCTAATTTGCACAATAACTTTACAATACACAACTTGACCTACATGTACACTAATGTAAATTAACTGAAAAAATAAAATACATTATTGGATTAGGTAAAATAGTTCACCTGGCCACATATACATGTAATATAACATAATTATGTATTTAGGGGTGAAAGGTAGCCATGCTACCAAATCATTGATACTATTTTGTGATTGCGGACTCGTTGTCGAAAATTCTTATAAGCTAACCAGTCACGTGCCATAGTTTGATTAAATGGTGTATTTCAGCTTGATTTATTTTGATTTTGATCGTGATGATTCTTGTAAAGAAACTGTAAAATGATAGGACCCTTATTTATCGCATTAAGCGTTTTTATAACATCAATATTTCAAATAGTGTTTGATCAAAACTATCAACATTTGTTTTTTATTTTGCTCATAATGTGTATACACGAATCTATAGCAAAACAATCTTTTTAATTACCAGTTATTGATTGTCGTCAGTAATTGGTTGTTACCAGTAATTGGTTGTCGCCAGTTATTGGTTGTCACCAGTAATTGATTGTTACCAGTAATTGATTATTACCAGTAATCGGTTGTCACCAGTAATTGATTGTTACCAGTAATCGGTTGTCACCAGTAATTGATTGTTACCAGTAATTGGTTGTCACCAGTTATTTGGTGTTACCAGTAATCGGTTGTCACCAGTAATTGATTGTTACCAGTAATCGGTTGTCACCAGTAATTTATTGTTACCAGTAATTGATTGTCGCCAGTTATTGGCTGTCACCAGTAATTGGTTGTCACCAGTTATTTGGTGTTACCAGTAATTGATTGTCAGCAGTAATTGATTGTTACCAGTAATTGATTGTTACCAGTAATTGATTGTTACCAGTTATTGGTTGTCACCAGTAATCGGTTGTCACCAGTAATCGGTTGTCACCAGTAATTGATTGTCGCCAGTTATTGGCTGTCACCAGTAATTGGTTGTCACCAGTTATTTGGTGTTACCAGTAATTGATTGTCAGCAGTAATTGATTGTTACCAGTTATTGGTTGTCACCAGTAATTGGTTGTTACCAGTAATTGATTGTTACCAGTAATCGGTTGTCACCAGTAATTGATTGTTACCAGTAATTGCTTGTTACCAGTAACTGGTTGTCACCAGTAATTGGTTGTTACCAGTAATCGGTTGTTACCAGTAATTGATTTTTACCATTTATTGATTGTTAACAGTAATTGATTGTTACCAGTAATCGGTTGTCACCAGTAATTGATTGTTACCAGTAATTGATTGTTACCAGTTATTGGTTGTTACCAGTAATTGGCTGTTACCAGTAATTGATTGTTACCAGTTATTGGTTGTTACCAGTAATTGGTTGTTACCAGTAATTGATTGTTACCAGTAATTGATTGTTACCAGTTATTGGTTGTTACCAGTAATTGGTTGTCGCCAGGAATATATTTATATATATTGTTTATATTTGTCATTGGATTTCAGCTCATCTTCACGAACCATTGGAGACATATGTGAAGAAATTAACTAAAGTAAAAATTGTTCGAAATAAGAAGCGTGAAGGCCTGATTCGAACTCGATTATTAGGATACGGTGTTGCAACAGGAAGTGTACTCATCTTTCTTGACTCACATATCGAATGTGCTCCAGGTAAGTGATAAACAAACACTATTGATAACACAATCCAGGTAGGTGATTTGGTAAAACTATTGATAACATAGTCTGTCCTGTCGGGCTGGTGATGGAGTATGATATATTTCACAAGTGATCAAGTAAACATGAATTAGAAATATTGATAACACTATCTGTCTGTCACAAAAATGACGGCCATCCGACCACGCCTGTGATTGAATTATATCACAGGATGGCTGGAGACTCTCCTGAACAGAATGAAAGACAACTCGACCACCTCTGTAACACCTGTTATCACATTTTATTACAGGATGGCTGGAGACTCTCCTGAACAGAATTAAAGACAACTCGACCACCTCTGTAACACAAGTTATTACATTTATTACAGGTTGGCTGGAACCCCTTCTAGACAGAATTAAAGACAATCCGACCACCTCTGTAACACCTGTTATCGATACAATTGATGACGACACTTTTCAGTTCAAATATTCTCCAGCTTCCTCTACACAAGTCGGTGGATTTGATTGGTCATTGACGTTTACGTGGCATTCTATTCCAGAAAGTGAAAATGTTAGGAGAAATCATAAAGACTATATACCTGTCAGGTGAAAGAAAAAAAAATTCATAATGGTGTTGTCCTGTATCACTACACTGTGTTGTCCTGTATCACTGCACTGTGTTGTCCTGTATCACTGCACTGTGTTTGTCTTGTATCACTAAACTGTGTTGTCCTGTATCACTACACTGTGTTTTCCTGTATCACTACACTGTGTTGTGATGTCCTGTATCACTGCACTGTGTTGTCCTGTATCACTACACTGTGTTGTGTTGTCCTGTATCACTACACTGTGTTGTGTTGTCCTGTATCACTACACTGTGTTGTGATGTCCTGTATCACTACACTGTGTTGTCCTGTATCACTACACTGTGTTGTGATGTCCTGTATCACTACACTGTGATGTCATGTATCACTGCACAGTGTTGTATTGTCCTGTATCACTACACTGTGTTGTGATGTCCTGTATCACTGCACTGTGTTGTCCTGTATCACTGCACTGTGTTTGTCTTGTATCACTAAACTGTGTTGTCCTGTATCATTGCACTGTGTTGTCCTGTATCACTACACTGTTTTGTCTTGTATCACTACACTGTGTTGTCATGTATCACTACACTGTGTAGTCCTGTATCACTACACTGTGTTGTCCTGTATCACTACACTGTGTTGTCCTGTATCACTACACTGTGTTGTCCTGTATCACTGCACCGTGTTGTCCTGTATCACTACACTGTGTTGTGTTGTCCCGTATCACTACACTCTGCTGTCCTGTATCACTACACTGTGTTGTGTTGTCCCGTATCACTGCACCGTGTTGTCCTGTATCACTACACTGTGTTTGTCTTGTATCACTAAACTGTGTTGTCCTGTATCACTACACTGTGTTGTGATGTCCTGTATCACTACACTGTGTTGTCCTGTATCACTACACTGTGTTGTGATGTCCTGTATCACTACACTGTGTTGTGTTGTCCTGTATCACTACACTGTGTTGTCCTGTATCACTACACTGTGTTGTGATGTGTTGTGTTGTCCTGTATCACTACACTGTGTTGTGATGTCCTGTATCACTGCACTGTGTTGTCCTGTATCACTACACTGTGTTGTCCTGTATCACTACACTGTGTTGTGTTGTCCTGTATCACTACACTGTGTTGTCCTGTATCACTACACTGTGTTGTGATGTCCTGTATCACTACACTGTGTTGTCCTGTATCACTACACTGTGTTGTCCTGTATCACTGCACCGTGTTGTCCTGTATCACTACACTGTGTTGTGTTGTCCCGTATCACTACACTCTGCTGTCCTGTATCACTACACTGTGTTGTGTTGTCCTGTATCACTACACTCTGCTGTCCTGTATCACTACACTGTTGTTTTAGCTAGAAAAATCATTCTACTTGTTAATTGTTTTGAAAATACGATATTTACAGTGTCTTGCGAAGAAATCAGCGCGATATCGATTTGTAAATCATTATCATATAAATATTATATCTTAGAGGATACATAAAACATGTAACAGAGATTGGGTACATGTAAAACAACGAAATCAAGGGACTGTATCATGGGTGATGTGTAACATTCAGGATTAGTGAAACATTGCTTTAAGATATCGCTTGGTTAAAGATATGTGAACCGTCCCCTTAAGATATTGCTTGGTTAAAGATATGTGAACCGTTCGCCTTGAGATATTGCTTGGTTGAAGATATGTGAACCGTTTGCCTTAAGATATTGCTTGGTTGAAGACATGTCAACAATTCGCTTGAAAATTTCGTACGTGTTGTGAGGTATATCAGTGGTTTTTTTTTTTCTTGCAGGAGCCCGACAATGGCGGGAGGTCTGTTTGCCATAAACAGGGAATTCTTCACGCACATTGGGACATACGACTCGGGAATGGACATTTGGGGAGGCGAGAATCTAGAAATTTCGTTTAGGGTAAATTTACTATCAACAGATCCACTGAGAACTGAGTTACGGCAGAGCTTTCGAAAGATATATCTTATCATCTAAAAACTGTTGTTATGTGCTTATTTCGAAGTTCTTAGTATGCTATGAAAAGAGTGATAATATTTTTTTTCTAAATTTGCGAGATTTTTTTTAATGCGCTTTACCTGAATGATGCTCGTTCCAGTGTTACACGAAATATTGTATAATTCTTCTTGAATTTAGCTCGGAGTTGTGACTTCTGCTGGCAAATGGTAGGCTATTCCATATAGAATGGAACACACCAATGTTATGTATATGATAGAAGTGAGCGTAATTATATTTGATCAGATTTGATTTGAGGAGTTGTTTTAATACCTTGTACGTGTTCATCAAAATTACGTACTTTGACAGGCATTGTACAGGTAACCATAGTAATAAATGAATCATCCTCAATACGACATGGGTTTCGCTGTCTGAACCCCTACAGCATTTTTGTATGCAACATTAAAGGTACAATAGAAGTAATTTGTCTAGAGCTGGTTTCAGGAGAAAAAACATCAGATTTTCAGATTTGGATGTGCGTAGGTACCATGGAGACCCCTGTTGTCCAGTGTCGGTGATATTTTCGTTGATAGGACTAAATTTCAATATCTGGTTTTCAGATTTGGATGTGCGGGGGGACTCTGGAGACTGCTCCCTGTTCCCACGTAGGCCATATCTTCAGAAAAAAATCGCCTTACACCTGGCCATCGAATACAAACGTGGTTAAGAAGAACAATGTAAGGATGGCAGAGGTTTGGCTTGACGACTTTAAAGTATATTACTACGATAGAATCAACAACGATTTGGTAAGTCTTAGAGTTCGAGTCTAATAGAAAATGTTGGTGGAGGTTTGGTTAGCCGTTTGGTTTGTCTAATGATTCGCTCATGTGTGTTAAGTATTATCAGAAAGCCACAACCAGAAGGTCCGAATGTTGGTATTGATGATGAAACGTGGCGAAACATCTCACTTTTACCCGTAGAGGATCGATTTTCCCACGCAAAATGCACATTATATATAAAGAGCTTCTATCAAAACTCGACCATATTTGTCCATGCACCCAAAATGTCAACTCATCTTTTATTACAAGCTGTGATGTAATAGGGAAAGACCTTAAACCTAACGTTGAAATCCGCACTGATGGAAGAGAATTTTTGATTTCTCAGCTACCTTCCAGATCAAAGGAAATCATCAATAATCTTTTGGAGATATCACATATGCTATCAAACAGGAGTCTTCTTTTACGCTTTGTTTCTCGTCTCTGGATGATACAGATTGTAACATCTGGACTGGTTTCTAAAATTTTGTTCTTATTGTCATCCTGTATTGTCACTGGCATTTACACTCAAACCCACGAGGAGCCACTACTGTTGCTTTGGATACATATCATTGAAAAAGTGTTCAACTCTTTTAACATGTCAATTTTCAGTATATCGAATATTTTTGCTCCATAGTAAAAGCGTTAGAAATAGCCACTTTCCCTTTGTTTCTTGGCTGTGAATATCTAACAGCTTATTCTAGAGTACAACACTATGTTCTCAGAAGCATTTCTTGGTCTAGGGGAGACTGTTATTCTTGACGGTACGTATATGTTTATTCCTAAGAGTTCTGATCACAAGCTCCAGCGAATCTCCCACTGTGGCCAGAGGAAGGGCAAGCGGAAGTTCATGAACACGGCAGTGGCTGATGGTTACATTCTCAACACAGGTAGCATTTTCGTGGAAGCGATGCTGTTAGAGAAAGATGACAACGTCAGATTTATTTTGTCAAATTTGGAATCACATGGTTTAACAACAAATATGCCTTATCTAAAACCTGGACAGACTCAACATGACGACCTACAAGCTAATCTTGATAGACCCATAACTAAATCCAGATGGGTAGTGGAGTCATGTCAAGCAAAACGCAACTTGCCCCGTACTATTTTCATTGATGTCATTGAGGAACTCGTTAGAATAGTAAGAGCCTGTCTCAATGAAATCCAAGGACCATATATATTAGAGCACGAAGTGAGACGCTACAACTTAGCTTAGCGTGTGAAAAGCTAGTCAGATCTCTCCAGAGGGGCCAAGTCACTATTTGTCAAACTAGATTCTACTGCGGACAATTGTTAGATATGGAATACCTTCTCATATTCTTGTTAGAATGTTGATTCAGCAGTTATAAGAACATTTAATTTGTGTGGTTATCAGGGAACATGACGGCCATTTTGAAAGTTAAAATTCACTTTAGTATGTTATTAGTGTAGGTGACAATCCATTTGTACTAATAAAATCAACATTTGGTTTCAGTTCACGTTACAATACAACAATCCAAAAAAGATTTTCTCCTTTGTTCGTTTTTTCCATAAGAATATTATCAATCAATTTTAATTACTTTGTACAAAACTCCCAATTACTATTTTAGGGCAATTTATTTTATACTCTTTGAGCACAAAATTGCGACTGGACTCCAATAGAAAGTTGTATTTTTGACTTTCAGAAAATTTCGCTTAATGTAATAAGAACATGTTCTTTCTCAAAATCTATCACCTTTTTATCTCCTGTTTCCGATGTATTGCAAACATATGATATCTAACATGCTATTATCAGCATGTTTAGTTTTTTGGGTTACCTAAGACAAAGTCTCATGGTGACCTATTGCGATCCCCTTTCGTTCAAGAGGCTGAGGGGCGGAGCCAGAAAGTGTCAAAATATTGTAACTTCAAATATCTTCTTCTCGACTTCCAGGTATGGTAGAATTAAGTACTATTCTTGGTTAGAAAGGCCTTCGGATGCTTTACCAAGACTGTAAATTTCATGATCTCGGGGTCTCACATTTTCCCCAGGGGAGAGGGTAAAGTTTACTATAATCTATTTAGGAAAATCACAGTTTGAACATAATTTGTTGTTTACCATTGGAAATTGTTCAAACCTGGTTAGAATTATTAGTTTAAGATGACAGTTTAATGAGATGCACATATCAACCTCGGCTGACCTCCAGGGCTGTTGTATCATTGTAGTTTTTAGAAGTCTTTATGTAAATATCTCTTCTGTTGATATATGTTATTATGGTCGTCATTGTGATCTCATTGAAAGATACCTCTTTTCTATTTGAGAAAGTAATATTACTTACTTGGATTAACCAAGATGTACATGGTGGATATCTTCGATGAAGCAGAGGACGCTTAATATTACGGAACACCCGGTCTTATTCTCCCTAAACTTTTTTCAGGACGTGTAAACGTTGTTTTGTTATTTCGTTATTAAGATTCTGTCAATGTGTCTTTATTTCATTGTTTTATTTAGTAATACATTGAACCGATAAAAAGTTTACCCAGAAAAAACACAATGTATGTTAAACACATTGTACGTAATACATACAGGTCACTTGGCCTATCTTTTTTATAAGTCTGTCCAATTAATATAATGAAGGCATGTTGTTGTTCTTTTTTTTCTTACATTAATTTCAAATAAAGAAAACAGGTGAAGTGAACATTCTTTTTTCAGTTCAGTGTTAGGGTTAGGGTCAACCTGTTACTTATAAGTTTGAAAGGCAGTATTATCTTTTGTAATATTACAATGCAGATGCGTAGAGAGAGAGAGGGGGGAGACATACAGACAGGCAGACAGACAGAAACTGACAGACAGACAGAGAGAGAGATAGAGAGAGAAAGAGAGAGAGAGACAGACAGACAGAGATAGAGAGAGAGAGAGAGAGACAGAAAGACAGACACACAGAGAGAAGACAGACAGAGAAAGACAGACAAACAGACAGAGAGAGAAAGACAGATTTCCTGATTACGGAATTCTTCATATTGCGATCCTTGTTACTTATAACCAATATTTTGACACGTCTATCCATCCAAGGACAGAAGATTAGTACACAGAAAAGAAAAGCAAAACACACAAATAAAAAATCCCCTCAGATTTTCTTTTACATCATTACGCTGTTGCATCAAAATTTGTTATTTGAAGACATACCATTTTGAAATTTACGCCACATCTTATTGTTTTCAGGGAAACTATGGAGATATATCGGAACGGAAAGCGTTACGACAAAGGCTAAAATGTCATGATTTTAAATGGTTTCTTCAGAATGTCTATCCTGAACTTTTTATTCCCGGGGACGCCCTTGCCTCCGGTCAGGTATGTATATAATTACACTTAAGTATTTCTAACAACCCCTAGTCCCCGTAGTGATAAGTATAGCACACGTAATGAGAGTTGTCTACCCTGAAAGGATTCATTTCCGAAAAGTCCTAATAATATAAACAGGTAAAAAGGTTGCTAATATCTGAAGGGTTTTCGGATGGCGCAAAAGTATCCCACTCCCACATCCGTGGTCCGATTAACTAAACGGAAGCCAGAAAGTATGGGGTTATATCCGTCCCCCTCTTGCGCTTCTCTACAAAGCTTGCTTCCAGTTGCCCTGTAATATGTAAAGCTAATTATGATAGTATCTAGCCTCTGTTGTAGTAGATATCCTTCCTACAGAAATTAGACCATGGGTAATCAGATACATATGATTTTATTAAATTTCAGATAAAAAGCAAGAAGAGAAACGTGTGTTTAGATGGTAAAGCCAATTATGGATTCAAACCGAATGCCGTAATTACTTATCCCTGCCACGGGCAAGGAGGCAACCAGGTGAGTCAATACCATTGTCTACACTTGTCATGGGCAAGGATGCAACCAAGTGAGTCAATATCATTGTCTATACTTGTCACAGGCAAGGAGACAACCAGGTGAGTCAATATCATTGTTTACACTAGTCACGGGCAAGGAGGCAACAGAGTGAGTAAATATCATTGTCTACGCTTGTCACGGGCGAGTTGGCAACCACATGAATCAATACCATGCTCTACAGCGCGCAACTAGACATCACGAGACTATGCTTACTGAGAACAACGAGATATCCCGAGACTATGGCTGGCTCTGTTTCTATTTCAGTACTGGATGGTTACAGAGAACAACGAGATATCCCGAGACTATGGCTGGCTCTGTTTCTATTTCAGTACTGGATGGTTACAGAGAACAACGAGATATCCCGAGACTATGGTTTGTTGTGTTTCTATTTCAGTACTGGATGGTTACAGAGAACAACGAGATATCCCGAGACTATGGTTTGTTGTGTTTCTATTTCAGTACTGGATGGTTACAGAGAACAACGAGATATCTCGAGACTATGGCTGGCTCTGTTTCTATTTCAGTACTGGATGGTTACAGAGAACAACGAGATATCCCGAGACTATGGCTGGCTCTGTTTCTATTTCAGTACTGGATGGTTACAGAGAACAACGAGATATCTCGAGACTATGGCTGGCTCTGTTTCTGTTTCAGTACTGGATGGTTACAGAGAACAACGAGATATCCCGAGACTATGGTTGGTTGTGTTTCTATTTCAGTACTGGATGGTTACAGAGAACAACGAGATATCCCGAGACTATGGTTGGTTTTGTTTCTATTTCAGTACTGGATGGTTACAGAGAACAACGAGATATCCCGAGACTATGGTTGGTTGTGTTTCTATTTCAGTACTGGATGGTTACAGAGAACAACGAGATATCCCGAGACTATGGTTGGTTGTGTTTCTATTTCAGTACTGGATGCTTACAAAGAACAACGAGATATTTCGAGATTATGGTTGGTTTTTTCTATTTCAGTACTGGATGGTTACAGAGAACAACGAGATATCACGAGACTATGGTTGGTATTTTCTATTTCAGTACTGGATGCTTACAAAGAACAATGAGATATTTCGAGATTATGGTTGGTTGTTTCTATTTCAGTACTGGATGGTTACAGAGAACAACGAGATATCCCGAGACTATGGTTGGTTTTTTTTCTATTTCAGTACTGGATGGTTACAGAGAACAACGAGATATTACGAGACTATGGTTGTTTTTTTCTATTTCAGTATTGGATGCTTACAAAGAACAACGAGATATCCCGAGACTATGGTTGTTTTTTTCTATTTCAGTATTGGATGCTTACAAAGAACAACGAGATATCCCGAGACTATGGTTGGTTTTTTCTATTTCAGTACTGGATGCTTACAAAGAACAACGAGATATCCCGAGACTATGGTTGGTTTTTTCTATTTCAGTACTGGATGCTTACAAAGAACAACGAGATATTTCGAGATTATGGTTGTTTTTTTCTATTTCAGTATTGGATGCTTACAAAGAACAACGAGATATCCCGAGACTATGGTTGGTTTTTTCTATTTCAGTACTGGATGCTTACAAAGAACAACGAGATATCCCGAGACTATGGTTGGTTTTTTCTATTTCAGTACTGGATGCTTACAAAGAACAACGAGATATCCCGAGACTATGGTTGGTTTTTTCTATTTCAGTACTGGATGCTTACAAAGAACAACGAGATATTTCGAGATTATGGCTGCTTCGACTTTAATGATAATGGCCTGACAATTTATTCCTGTCATCACCAGGGAGGTCCGCAGTCTTGGTTGTACAGAAATGTAAGTTTTGTGATACTTTAACGTGGTCATCTGTCTACAAGTGATTTTTCAGAAGTTCTGTCAACTTATCGCTAAATGCACCGGGTCCTACAATGTAAAAGTGTTTTCAGAAATACTAAGAGTTTTATCATAACTTTGAGTACTGACTCGGGACTCACATGAAAATGTATTGCTGTAAATGTATCAAACAATGTATTTTAATTAATTATGATGATGTATGTTATATAATAGACAAGTAGGTGATATTATTATACACAAATAACAGTGTTAAATTATGTATGTATGTATGTGTGTGTGTGTGTGTGTGTGTGTGTGTGTGTGTGTGTGTGTGTGTGTGTGTGTGTGTGTGTGTGTGTGTGTGTGTGTGTGTGTGTGTGTGTTTGTTTGTGTTAGTTTTGTGTATGTATGTGTTGGGTGTATGTGTGTGGGGGGAGGGGGTGTGTGGGTGTGCGTGCATGTGTTTGTGTTTGTTTATGTGTGTGCGTATGTGTTTGTTCATGTGTGTGTTTGTTTGTTTATGTGTGTGTATGTGTTGTGTGTGTATGCGTGTGTTTGTTTGTGTGTGTTTGTTTGCTTATGGGTGTGTATGTGTTGTGTGTGTGTGTGTATGTGTTGTGTGTGTATGCGTGTGTTTGTTTGTGCGTGTTTGTTTGCTTATGTGTGTGTATGTGTTGTGTGTGTGTGTTTGTCTCTCTCTCTCTCTCTCTGTGTGTGTGTGTGTGTGTGTGTGTGTGTGTGCACGCCCGTGTTTGTTTGTGTGTGTGTGTGTGTGTGCGTGTGTTTGTGTGTGTGTGTTTTTTTATTTTTATGTGTTTTGTCATGTATTTATATTGTAATGAAAAATGTCTGAAAAAAATAATTTAAAACGTGATTTTAATTCTTATGCATATATAGGTGTATAGTGGCTTTGATTTAGTAAGAAAAGTCGCTTATTTAATGTAACGACTATATAGTGTATCAGTCAGTTATTATAGTTAGATATATAATCGTGATACGACTCCTGTGATCATGTATTGGGGAAAGTCGTTTTATTTGCTTCTCTATCTCGACTTTTCATGGAGATATCCATATCGATATACTGAGGATATTTTCAGGAAATGTTTCGTGTCATGTCAACATAAATTTTCTTAAAACTCATATCAGTGAAAAACAATAGGATAACGTTATGTAATATTAATCTGAAAACGTGGTTTTACAGGATGTAAGAAGTGTGCCTCCATACAATATTCGTATGACTCCTTGTCTAACAAAGTCCAGAATTTAAACAATATTTACATTTGTTTCCCATATTTAAATTGTTATGATATACGTTTATCTTTTTAATGTATGAAGGATGATACTCTCTACAATCCTGGGAGAGACCGATGTGTTACGTTGTCATACGATAGCGAGCGTGTCTCCATGGAGATATGCACAGGAGGAGAGAATCAACAATGGTTATGGAATCGACAACCACCTCAAGGACCCAGTCGTGATTAATTCCTGTACTAGTGGAGAAATGGATCTCAACATGGAGAAAAAATATGTTTATGAGATCATTGACACACACTGAACGTTTCTTCACTCAAATGGACAAAATGTGAACATGGTGTACTCGTCATAACTGGTAATCTGTACTACCGGTAAACAATAAGGAATTGGAATCAACAGCGTACGGTTGACATGAATAGTGTAAGGCCATTCTCACTTGTAATGTTTGTCTGGTCTGCTAGGCGAAATCCGAGCATGGATTCACAAAATGTCAGTTCGATAAAGAATAAGAAAGAGAAATCAGTATGGAACATTGAGAAGCTGGTTGGTCAGCTGTATCATGTTGATTTCAATGTGTTCACGTCAACACTCCCGAGGTCACTGATTGGTTGGTTTGGTACAGGTTTTCCGTCTCCTTGACTCGTCCTATCTCTAGTACACATTGTATCACTGATTGATTAGTTTGGTACAGATTTTCCGTCTCCATGACTCGTCCTATCTCTAGTACACATTGTATCACTGTTAGGTTGGTTTGGTACAGGTTTTCCGTCTCCTTGACTCGTCCTATCTCTAGTACACATTGTATCACTGATTGGTTGGTTTGGTACAGATTTTCCGTCTCCATGACTCGTCCTATCTCAAGTACACATTGTATCACTGTTAGGTTGGTTTGGTACAGGTTTTCCGTCTCCTTGACTCGTCCTATCTCTAGTACACATTGTATCACTGATTGGTTGGTTTGGTACAGGTTTCCGTCTCCTTGACTCGTCCTATCTCTAGTACACATTGTATCACTGTTAGGTTGGTTTGGTACAGGTTTTCCGTCTCCTTGACTCGTCCTATCTCTAGTACACATTGTATCACTGATGAACGCCAAATATTGCGGCGTAAAATATATCAGAATAAAATTATCCAAGGGCAAATAATGTACCAGGTTTAAATAATATTAGAGTAAAATTCTTGGAGTCAAATATATCGGTGTCAAATTCCTGGAGTTAAATATTTCGGTGTCAAATTCCTGGAGTTAAATATTTCGGTGTCAAATTCCTGGAGTTAAATATTTCGGTGTCAAATTCCTGGAGTTAAATATTTCGGTGTCAAATTCCCGGAGTCAAATATCTCGGTGTGAAATTTCCGGAGTCAAATATCTCGGGGTCAAATTCCTGTCCAGACCTCTTTTACACGTTTTATAGTTAATTACGTGATGTTTTGTCATATATATGTATTCATACTTTGTTTTTACAAATATAAAGCAGAACGCCAATGGTAGGTGTTATCTAATAAACTTTTTATTCACAAACATTTTTACTTTGTTTATTTAAGACAGTACAACAGTTGATATATATAACACATGATTGCGGAAACAATCAACAGCATACGCCTCTTCATTTTAACATAATAAACATCATATCATTGGCCTACTATCTGGCGAATTTTGCCTTCGTAACATTTGTTCGTATGTAACTTATAACATGTAGAAAGCCCAGAACAAATTTGATTGGTCAACTTAATCACATTTTCTCACAGTTATATATTAAATATATTATTTGGATGGACGAGAATACGTGTCTGTGCTTGACATTTCAGTGCGGTGTCAGACGTCTCAGCAGTCCCAGTGACAGATCCCTCATCATCACTGGATAATTGAATAGCATCATCTGCAGACTCTCCAGCATTACCAGCTATAAAAGTGATAAAAGTGAAGAGAAACATGAGTAATATAGAAAACACTACAAGTGCGTTATATTGAAATATGCATGAAATGTACACGGAATTCTTAAAAATACAACAACAGATAAAATGTAATAATATGCTTACACTGACAAGGGGCCTTGTCTTTACTCTATGGATATGCCCCTCCAAGAAGGAAACTTTCTGCAGCACCCACTTCTCGCGATCAGTCAGCTCAGTAGCCCCTTCCCCAGACTTCCTCAATTTCAGTTTCCTCACAGATTTATACCAGGTTTGTATAAAGACACCTGAAAATATTAAACAAACTATATTAAAAACATGTACATGCACATAAATGCATTAAATGTCAATGTATATAACACGTATAATTAATGCAGAAAGTTATCTATATTACTTACAGTCCAACTCAAGTTCCCGAGCCTTAGCCTCCCAGACAGCGGTTTTAGGTTTAGTGTATTGTGATGGCTCATTTTCTTATTGTAGGACTGAGGGTATTATGATATCCACTCTATCATGCTTTCCTCTTATTCTTCGGTGAGGTTGCAGATCACTTTCACTTTCTTCGTAGGCTGGGGACGAAACTTTGGTGTGGTGTCACGAGAATTTGTCGGTGAACCGTTGGAACCAGCAGTGGATTCAACTTTAGACTGTGGCGTCTCTTTTGTGGGTGGTGTTCGGGATGTAGTCGGTGAACCGACCTTGGTTCTTCCTCTTCCTTTCCCTCGGCCTCTTCCTTGCTTCCTTCCAACCATGGCTAATCTCTAGGAAGTGCCAAAACTGAATGACAATCGCATTATTTTGGCACTGGTTTTTATACAACGCCAAAATGACGCTGTGACGTCGTATTAGAAACGCAATGAGGAATTCAAGAAGGTCGAACGCAATGGACGTCGTAAGAACGCCGTGAAAACGCCGGATGAACGTCGAAGACGCCGTACGGACTTGTAGTTTGACTTCACAAGAACTCATAGAGAACGTGGTAATGACGGGATGGACTACTTGTGAACGTTCTAAGGACGGGCTAGAACTTGGCAAAGACGTCTGATGGATTACCGGAACCCCAATTTCCGCAAAAAATCCCAGGTTATTGCCACTTCCTGGTCAAGTCTTGATAACTTCAAGAACGTCGCATGAAAGCCATGGAAGGACGTGTAGACGTCACAGGCCCTTTAGTTATGAGCGCGTTGAAGGATCCATTCGTTTGCATACATTGGTAACTTAAGACGGAAGATCATAAAAAGTGAGATTTTGTAAAGACAGTCAGCATACCAAAAATAACTATAAGGTTTATTTGGAAGAAGCATTTAAGTTGTTGCAATCAAACGCTTTGTATGTGAAAAAGTATGAATTGAAAAATTGTTTATGCAATCTAATGCTATATTTGAGGTTTAGCAGTTGACATGTAGGTAAACATCGTGATATCGTCACACACTACAACGAGGCTGTCACAATAATGTAAATAATTGTAAACTTCACTGATACCTAGCTCTCGGGTTTGGGTCCATTTGGTTGTAAGTTTGACATGTTTCAGGTGCACATGTTCGTCAGCAGTCAGCTGCAGATTTTTAACAGTCTAGTGTGTTGTTGATCACAAATTCGTGATATAAAATCCACTGACGACGCTAGTCTGGTCAACCGAACTGCATTATTGACTTAATAGACTTTCAAATTGTATATGAACGATAAAACTTTCTCTCTGGTCTACATCTCCCAACTAAACATTTACAGAACTGTAACGTGCACTCTTATGGTAGCGTGCGTGCACGCCGGGCTCTCAATTTATACGGAGCTACCTGCTCCAGAGGCAATCGGGATCCCTCGGCTACCTGGCCGAACAGTTGAACAAAATAACACAAGCTAACGAACAATGTATAAATCTACACTACAATAGGATGGACAGTACCCCTGTCCTCCCTACACCGTCGCCTGGACGTAGATTACACCACAAGGCTACAACACTCAACAGCATGCCAGCACCACGACACGGTCACTACAGGCACGTCCTCGATCGCTGAGCTGACCACCGTACAGCTCCGACGTCGCCTGCCAGTGTCCTGATGTTGCCAAGTACTAAGTTAGGTTTCAGTTCTTGTATCAGCAGTCAGGCGTACCAGAGCTGCCTTTGCAGGCGACTCCTTACGAGGAGCTTCTGGCGTACCTGACCCGTCAACTTACCGGCACCAACCACACGTACAGTAACTGTTACCCGATTAGCCTTATTCGGGAGCTTCTGGCGTACCTGACCCGTCAACTAACAGGCAACAACCACACGTACAGTAACTGTTACCGTTACCAGAGTAGCCTCATTCAGGCGACCCCTTATACAGGAGCTTCTGGTATCAGTATGCAGCGAATGATTACCTTATTGTATTCACGTATATGCCGTTAACTCTATGGTCTGTTGTGTGTCAGAACTTCCAGCCCCAAGTACTGTTTTCAATTAGCCTTTATATAAAATTTGGTGTAACATTCTGGGTGTCTTCATTATTTTGCAGGTTAATAACAAAGCACCAAAAACTATTTCATAACCCAAAATATGTAAGACATATATATTTATTCACTTATAAAGGTATGATTACATATTTAAAAAGCACTAGTTTCATTTACACATCAGTCAATCATCGTTAATTACATTAATTAGGTAGGTGGTGATGTTACAAAAGTAGATGAATACAAAACGGTACGTGAAGGGAGATAACTCTAACTGAATAAAATCCTCACATTACGTCATTAGCCCGAAGCTCGCTCGCGCGTCTTCTGAAAAGTTCGCGGCTCATATGCGAGTCTTCTGAAATACTCCTACCAAGTCCTCCCACAGGTCAGTCAAGCTTTGTGTTTGTTTGGCAGAACCAAGGACACCAGTGTCTTTAAAGTCCGCGGGAATATATTTCTGGTAGTTATCTAATACACTTTTCATTTCTTTGTCAACTGAAAATGCAGCTTTCTGCATTCGAATCAGAGGAACTTGTAAGTTGTGTTTATACACCTTTTCATTCAGTTTCAGTATAGTCTTCTCAAAGTTGTCCTGGTGGCAAAGAAGCTTCGCCTCTTCTTGCGGTTTCAGAGTGGAGGAATTAAGTCTGCTTCTCTCCAGGGCTAATTTAAATCTTGCTTTTGCGATGCCTTCTCTGAAAACGATAAAAATAGTTTCATTAAGCCTCAACCAAGTGATGCAAATAATTGTCTTACGCAGGGTTGACCCTGTTGAATAGATGTATATTACGTACCAAAAAGTCAGATATGTTGTCATTTATCTAAGTAACGTGACGCTACCCAAAATGGTACCAATTCAAATTATTTTACCTCAATATTTCGTT